ATCTTCACTGGGCTGAGTGCCAGGTCAGAAAATACAACCAAAACAAATCCCCAAACCAAACCATCATAACTTACCTCAATAGTGATGTTCCTGAGTGGCTGATGGGCGCTCAGAGCTTCGGGGTATCCATCTGACTGCACTGTGCTACGAGCTGGAAGGAATGTCCTTTAGAAGAAGCCATTTCCCCACCATCACCACCTGTCCCAACACAACTGCTCTGGGTGAACAAATTCCATAGGCTAAAACCTTCCTGCCTACCCCTGTGGGAAACAAACGCCACGTTACAGCCCACACGCCTCTCAGTGGGCACCCACCTTCATTTCGTCCCATTGCTCAGCTCCTAAAGCAAAGAAAACCCACCCAACATCAAACCTCAAACAGATCCACAGCCAAGACGTGAGACAGAATCACTCCTAGAATCACTAAGGTTGGAAAAGACCACTGAAGTCACCAAGTCCAGCTATCAACCCGTGCCTGTGACTGCTCAGACTGCGTCACAGACGACATCTTCACAGATGAATCATTTCAACCCCGACTCTGAGGCAAAAAGTCACGTTTAAAGCATTTATTTTGAAAAATAAAATACAAAAGATCATTGAATTGTAATTATACATGTCATTTATCTTTTTTTCTTTTCTTTTTTTAAATAAAAGGTATTTAAACCATTTCCACATGTTGATAAAATAAAACTGTTCCACCAAAAACCGTTTAGGACGAGCACAGACCACTCCTCTGAGATTTTCATACACTGAAAACCAAACTGCTGAAGGGAGAAAAAAATAAAAGACCCTTGAGGATGGAGGCTTGGGATTAAGACGACAGAAGAGCAATTTCAGACACAGGCATTGTTCTGTGTTTCTGAAAACCTCAGAAGTAGTTGTTTACATGTAATACAGTTCTACATTTAACAGTGACTTTTCTAGTTTTTGGTTTTTTTGTTTTTTTAAACAGGCTTGCATGCGCTCACAACAACAAAACCCCGAACAAAAAGAAAAGAGTATGAAAGTAATGGGGAGAGAACTGTGAGAAAAGCAGGCCATGAGCAGTACACCTCATTGATCTCAGTGGGACAGTCCTTGTAACATCACTTCCATTGAGAAGGCAGCAGTGTTCTTCTAAAGAAAAAGAAAAAAAAAAAAATCGGTTTTTTGGGGGCTCAATGTAGTATTGTTTTTAACCCTTCATAGCATATTAAATTTATGGAAATACTGCATAATTACAAGCAACCACCATGATTCAGTGTGTGAAGTTACTGTTAAACGAAGTCGATCCATTAGGAGCTGCCTTTTCAGTCTGCTATCAGACTTCCTCCCAAAAACACATTTAGGCACAAATCTGAACTTTGTGCATTCAAAGCACCCAAGGAAGCGGGCTGCGTCTACACACTGACAGCATCTCTTTCATCACAACGTACGAGTGCTAATTACTGCTGGGATGTTAATTTGGTTTCTCAGAAATCAGACTGTTTTAGAGATATTTGTTTTAAATACCTTTTTGAAAGATGTAATTGGCAACGTGAAGTAGTCATTTTAACGTTGTCTACATGAGAACATTATGGTTTCCCTATCAATTCCAAAATAAACATCTGCAATTAATCTTTGTAAAACATTTATATCCATTATTTCTAACTGGCGTGATTTCGGCTATATTTAGGGCTACAGAAGAAGCTCTATCTGTGGCCACATATTGATATCTACACTGGCTATATTTTAGCAGCCTACTGCTTTTGGATATAGAAGAATGCAACCGGTTGAAGTGCTATAAATTCTAATGGGCCGTGCAGAACTGCACAATTACTCTTAAACCACAAACTGTGCTTCTGTAGCTCTCACCACTGTCACTTACCTCAATGCCACTTTACAGATTCAGAACCAAGACCTCTGTTTTCATGTTTCTCTTACCCAGAATCTTGAGTGGAGTTAAGTAAGCTTAAAAAGATCACTTCAACTACACCAAGAACAGCAACTGAACAAGACTGCAAGCATTTCTATTACCTTCTGTGCAACAAATATCCATTGCATCTTCTATTCCATGGGTTCAGTCTGTTAAGTAAATAATTAAATAAAATGAGCAATATTCCATTAGAGAAAAAGACAGCAGCAGCAGCACCATTGCATCATTCAGCTGTTTGGTCACATCACATTAATTTTATCTTTAGCGTGATATTAAAGCAGAATATTTCATCAGAATTAATTTCACCTTTAGTTTTAACATCTATATTTTAAAGAAACCTCCAGTTCAAAAAGGTTGGCCTTGCTTTTTGCAAGAATCTTACTTTGGATCAATCTGCTGAGAACGAGGTAAATACTGCAGTCACAATACGCTAATTGTGTAAATTCACCTCCTGATCTTTAGGAGACATCTATTTTGCACCTTTCCTATTATATGGATTGCAAGATGACACTTGCTAGAAACACTGTGTCTTCTGACACAACACAAGGTAACTGGAAAATAGAATTTAATCTAATGGATGCTGCAGGCAGATGAAGGATAATTTGTTTGGATAATGACAGCAGACCATCATTACACCACACGCTAAGCTTTCAAGATAGCTCATCCCTGCATTTGCCAGAAATCCTTATCAGCAATATTTAATCTTTATGTTTTGACACACTCTATGTTTGCAGCCAGATATGCTGCAACTGTTACACTGCAATTTTGAAATAAACAAAATAATTGCATTTGAAAGCATTATGAAATAACTGCAGCACACTTCCTCAATACAGTTTGCTAACAATAACTCTTAAGCAGCACATACTGAAATAGTTTTCTTGCCATTAAGCTGCATAGACATATTGGCCAGCAGTTGAGAGTGAACAATGCTGTGAGCAACAGCACACTTAGCTGCATGGTGCCAGATCCTTAATGGTGTTGTTCTATTAGCTGAGCACAACCAGCAAAGCGCGAGCGCTGACTGGAGGGTGAGAGCACACAAACATCCAGTAAGAGTGCAAAGCCCATATCAGAGATCACACACAGGTTTATCAGAAAGATTTGGTGTCCACAGCAAAAAGCTATGTTCCAAAAACATGAGACAGACACTATAGCTATTCGACTTCACTGATCCATGTTCATTTTATCTTGCCACGGGACCTCCTTTCTACTGTCTTCTTTGGCTGGAACAAAAGAAACCAGTTTTCCTTTTTAATAAGCTGATTTTCATTTGAAAGGATTGAAGAAGTCACAATGTGTTGTCTGTGCATGGTTGATTCTGTGTATTTCTGAACCCAACAGAAGTCATATTCAAGGAGTCTTTTCCCAACGCTTGGGAACCAAAGTCAAGAAAGCTTGTACCCCCTGTAAATTACTTGAGTTAATACAGGCTGCCTACATTTACATTCTCAGTAAGTTTCTGTACTGACTGTATCATCACTGATGGATATAGAAATATAAAAGAAATACAAGCACTGTAGATAATGTGCCTACTTTGGTCCTGGTCACAAAAATCACGGTAACTCCAAAGGTTTTTGTTGAGGTTAATGAGAGGCCAGGGTATCTCTCACACTACAGTTGCAGGAAAATTTGGAGGCAGAGAGCCCCAACAATGCTTTCTCTCCACATTTTGCAAAGCTGTGCTCCTGGATATGCAGGACAAGTTGGAAGGGGGGGAAAAAAAACAGAAAAACAAATATTTTTCTACTTAGCTTTACTTGAACACACCCTGAGACAGTAACAGGAATGAGCCACTTCCTGTTTTTTCTATCTAAGCACAACAGAGAGCACTTTAAACAGCACTTGGACATTTAGTATCAATTAACAGCTTGCACAAATGATCATTTTGGTTTGTTCTGCCAGATACAGCAGCACATTTTTTTTTTCTTTTAAAGCCTCATTATTTCTGCTATCCATGCCGTATTTGCTTGAAACCTTTCAGTGCACAGCAACAAAAGGTGATATTCCTCTACAAACAACAACTTGGTCTACATAAGAAAATATACAAAATGCCTCTAGTTTCATGGCAGCCTTCAGTCAGCTGAGGACTGCAGGCACCACAGTACTACTAACATGAGAGTTAAACGTGCATTCAAAGAAAGCCTTAGGGCAGCTGAGTGGGAGCAAGGGAGATGCAATCTCATGAAAAAGCTGTTCACAGCCCTTCTTTTAAAACCCAACAGAAAAATCAAAAGTATGAAGTGTTTGTAAGGCTGTTTTCACAGTGGCTTGCTGCTGTTCACATAGAAAGGAAATTAACTGAGCACTGTACCTGTGGCGCTTCTTTAAGGAAGTCAGGAAGCTGAAATTCACCTTTAAAAACCTGGGGGAATAAAAAACAAAACAATTTACTATTCAATGCCAGCACTCACTGATGTTTGAAACTATAAGAGCTTGGTAAACAAAAAAAAAAAAAAAAAAAAAAAGGATTATTCTGGGTTATCACCATTCAGCAATGCTAAATCAGACTACCTGGGAACTTTCAGTTCTTAAACATCTGTGTTTTACAGTTTCAAAACTTGACAAATGTCACTGATACAAACAGAATTATTGCTCTTGGACAAATGCAACTCCCACAAAGTCTGGGAAAGCTCATAACAACTTCAGCTGAAATGGCCAACACTCAGCATCTCCTTTATCCCATTTCACACGCATCCATTCCTTCATTTACATATCCAGGTCTGTAGGAAAGTTCCATCCAGCAACTCCTATATTTGTGGATTCCTACAGCTGCAACCTCAGCACCAGCCTTATTTTATGATAGTTTGTCATGACCACAATTCCCCACCTTTTAGAGCATAACATCGCTGCTGAAACACTGCTCTGGAAAAGCAGCGAGCAGTAAATATTGTCAGACATAGCAAGAGCCACACCAAACAACTGTTCCCACTATCTGACCAATTAGGAAATAAATTGGTGATGGACTGTCTTCTCTTTTGAGGATGCTTTTTAAAAGCTGTTTGCTTCTGAGATCAAACTGGAACACATTCCAAAGGGGGGGAAAAAAAAAAAAAAGGAAGAAAAAAAGGTTCTGGATTTGACAAAAATAAGCAGAATAGAATGGAAGGAGTTTTACCACCGTCCTTCCTGCTGAACCGAAAAGACTGAACACCCCACCGTCAGCGGTTTTTGTGTGGCTGTAATCACATACAATCAAAATCCACAAACCTACTTAAAAATTCTACAAAGCCAAACCATGGCAGCTGAGCTGCTCCAACGCATCTCTCTGAGTTGAGATGCCTGATTTGCAAACTGCTTCAAAGGAAGACAACTCAGGAACTCCAGGCATGCTTATTAACAACATCCGCTTTCCCTGCCTTGCTCTGGACAACCAGAGCCTGAAGACCATTTGGTCAGTGCCCTGCTGTGGCTCACAGCTGCTGTGTCAGCTTCGAATTTCCTGCCTGTAGGACTGCTCACCCCAAAGCACATCTGCAGCATTAAACCTCATGCATGACTCATGTGCAGGGATGGAGGAGCTGGAAGCTCTCCTTGCTCTTTATCACTAGGCTAAACACATCCAAACAACCAGCCTCAACATTAGGGTAGGAATTATTATACATGTACAACACAGAACGCTGCTCCTTCTGATATCTCATAGAATAGAAAGACTGACTCAGCGATGGGCAAAGCTTTCATTTACGTTCAGTTTGGGGATACAGTCATTCCCATGGTAACCTTAATGAAAGCCACAGCGGTCAAAAATTCAGCATGCGGCTTATGGAGCCTGGATATACAATAAGAGTATAAATGAAGAATGGTATTTCATATCTTAGGCTTCTAAGCAGAACATTAGGATGCATGCTATGTTCTGGAAGTGGACATTACAAATCAACAAAACCACCACATAAAAATGCTACAGAACAACCTGGGCAAAGCTCACTGGGAAATGCAATCCGTTATCAGATTTGTGCCAGAGCTGGAGGGAGCAGACAGCCTTCACTTCAGGTCTATTGGAATCCACTGCAGTTGTCAGCTGAGCATTTTTAACAACAGTAATACCGATGATGATGCTATACTGTGGTTTGTCCAAAAGAGAAGTGACCAAAACCACATTTTTCACTCTGGAGGACTGTTTCTCTTTTCCGCTCCTGCAAATATGACTTAATTCTAATTTAAATACATATCTAAAATACATTTTTTTTTCCCTGCTCTAAAAGCCTTACCACTGTAATGCCCTTTTACTCCTAATAAACATCAATAGAAGGTAGTTAAAGGTATCAACCCAACAGCATCATTAAGGAAAATAATGACACTAATATCACAGCCTGGAAAAGTAAGACGTTTCAGAGGCATTTGATTATATTGACATAAAATATCCCCATTGCACATCATACCCATGACAAGCCTGAGAAGCTGCTGCTAGATTAGGCTTAAGACAACTGTATGTTTTGAATTCTCATTCAAAAGCAGTATTATCTAGAATTCTGGTTTTGTCAGGATTGAGACTGCATTCGAACTAGTTTAAAGTAGTTCCAAAAATGGTGAGTGGTCCCTTCTGAGTGAATAACCAGGGATCAACTGCAATCCCGAGATTCGTAGAACAATGACTCCATTTGCAGCCAAAGAAATTAAGAGGTTTCAGATTCAAAATTCTTTTCAGGCCAGTTTCGAACTCTAAAACACATTATTTGGAGTGTGGCAGCACAGAGGCTGAAGCAGGATATTGGAATGGTTTCCATTCCAAGCAAGAATTCAGTAAAATAGAGTTGTGTTTACTATTTCTAAGGGAATTATTTTGCAAGCCCAAGTGGATTTCCAAAGGGGAGGGGAGAATAATCTGAAGTCCAAGTCAGTCTGCTGTTCACTGTTTGCATTATTCAAACCCACTTAAAAAGAAAAATCCCAAAACATTCTTATAGCTAAACTAAATGCATTTTTGTTCTCAAAAAGAGATCAGAAAAAAGCAACGTATTCAGTTATCTGAATACCCTCAGAAATACACAAGGAAAGCCAAGAGAAGGGAAGAAGGAACTCTGAGAAGTGCAACCTACAAAGCAACAAAGATTTCCAACAGGCCACTGCATGTCCACCAAGAGGCAGTTTGCAGCTCAACTTCACCTGGTGCCTTGTTTGTTAATAGCTTTATGCCTTAGTAAGCACACGGCTGTGTAGCTGGTAAAAATAAAGCAAAACTTAAAGCATAACTGCACAGAACAGCTGTGCAGTTGGGAATCTCCAGGCTGGAAGCAATACTCACTAAACGTGCTAATAAGCAAAGCAAAAGAAAATGCCCCATCCCTGGATGTGGCTCTGGGCAGCCTGGTCTGGTGGTTGGTGACCCTGCACATAGCAGGGGCTTGAAACAAGATGAGCATGGTGGTCCTTTTCAACCCAGGCCATTCTGTGATACTGAGGAACTATGTTCTGTTGGTAGTCCTACAGCCAACAACAACGACAAAAATAACCCACTATTTTTTATTTTAAATATCAGACAATACTCAAAAAGCCCACTGCCTTTATACTTACCTTATGCCAAATGGAGCAAAATGGAGATGGATGGCTTTTTTCTCCCTAGGCCACTTAAGCAGCCTCTCATAACTGCATTCCTCCACAATTACACACATTTGACAGCACAAGTAATTATGCAGCAGCACAGACTCACTTCACACCCTTTATCACAGACTGCATCTGGGCTTTTAAAGACAGAATCAAAGTCCTGAAATTGTGTTCCTCCTGGACGTCTCAACACTTAACAGCAAGAGGCATTTCCTCACAATTTAATATGGGCATGAAACAGGAGTTTATAGAAATCTGTTTTCCTGTAGATGTTAACTGCAGAAAATACCATCAACAGAACATAAAACAGAGACAGATAACAGCTTTCAGATGCGAAAAAGCAACATACATTTAAACAGCCATGATGAAAACCATAACTTCTTCCACAGTTCTGTACATTTCTGTCCCTCGATCTCTGCAGGGTAAGCATCACAGCCTCATGAAATAAACGACTGGAATATGTATTCCTAGTGCTCAAACTCATTCAGAGGGAAGAGTGTGCCAAAGAAAATCTGATGTAAGCCATTGCAGATGTGAAAGGAGAGTGCTTGGCCAACCATAACATAACAACACGCCAGCTTCTGCAGGGCAGCATCAGAGCTGTGCAGCTACGAGCTGTCCTCCCACCTCTGGTGTGTTCTGTGACACTGCTGCACACACTTCCACGTGTGTGATTCTACTGTAATATTTCAGCATACAGTGGCTGAGCTTTCAGTTCAGGCAGTTTGTTTCCATTTTCTGCTTCATTTACATATGAACACTCATTTTAGCAACAAGATGCTCGTTTTCAGGGTGTAGAATTTGTTAAACTCCAGGAAAAAAAAAGTGGTTTGTACCTGTAAGGAAAGGACCATTGCAATTGCTGTAACAAAATTAACAGACCAGCAACAGCACAGTGTTACTCAGAGCTCCACCTCTGCCCTCTGCTCCATCTCTGAGATAAAGAGTGTCACACAGGACAGTGCAGTCAGCTCTAACCAAAAGCAAACAAAGTTAATGGCTGTGTTCGTGAGAACATCAGAGAAATCTGTTAGATTTGTACTCTACAAGCACAGACACTCACAAAGACACCATATTCCATAAGACCACATTGTACACTGTACATTGGAAGACCATCAGGCAAAGAGATGGAATTGCTTCAGGCTCTCTTACTTCCTAAAACAAAACCAGAACTAACATGGTAGAGTATAAACACCCAGTAACATCTTCATGGTTTTGTGCTGTTACAGGAGCATGGAAAACCAACCCCAGCCCTTGGTGTCCCAGATCAGTAAAATTAAAGTGAAAAACCCAAGTTCAGCAGAAATCATTACCTTCCCTGCATTTCCTGCAAGCACATAGAAATTCTTCTACAAGCACTGTCCTTTAGAAGGTGAGAATCATCATTTTACTTCCAGACTGAATGGAAAAAAATATTTAAACCTGCACATACGTAAGTCACCAGAAGGGGGACAGAAGGAGAGGAAAATTAAAACCAACAGGATTTAACTGCTCGGAAAGCTTAGGGGAAACTAAGAGCATCACGCCAGCCATTCCCTTCCATTTTCCCCAGTCACAGCCCTATCGTGCTATGGGCAAACTTCACACTGTTGGTTCAGCCACCACCATCAGCAGCTCTGAAATTACTGACATTTTCAATATTGAGAATTAATCTCATCTGCAGCCTTTCCAAGGAGTGACAAATTTTGATCAGTTATACACAGCTGGTATGACATAGCATAAATGCAGAAATGCATGTAGCATTTAATCACAGCATCACAGAACAAAGACATCTTGCAGCTTAATTTTGTAGAAGATAATTTTGAAAGATTCCAAATGGACAACACACTCCTAGAACTGTCCTAGGAGTACAGTCTCAGAACTCTGAGCTGTCTGCATTCAAGAGGTTTTCTATCTGCGAGTTTGTCTGGCATCCCATTTATCTGTATGTTTTTTATGTACAGTATTAAAATCATCATAGAATCATAGAATGGCTTGGGCTGGAAGGGACCTGAAACAAAAGTTCTCTTTAACAATGAGAGAAATGTTGCTTCTTTAACACACCTAATAGCAATGAACTGGATGACACAGTGCTGTTCCATCTCTATTTAGGTGGAGCCACAATCTCCCTGCCAGTAATTTCAGTGGTGCTGGGCTTCCACCCTGCTGTTGCAACTTCCACAGTCAAATTAATGCCAGCATTACGTACCCCAAAAAACTGAACAACTCGTTCCCCATCTCCAAAAACAAAACCACCAGCCCTTCCCCATACTCCTGCTTTCTGTTTGCCAGAATGAAGCAGCTCCTTCCATCCCAAGTGCTAGCTCATGTGCCTGACCTGATTCCAAAACAACAACATGAGCAGAGAGAAGCAGAAGTCAGTAACTCAGCGTTAGCCCAGGTCAGTCCCACTAAGGGTTACCATTCTAACACAGCACTGTTCTGCTTTAGGAGTCTAAACTTCTTTAAAATCTGTTTTCAATGAATAAAGTTCAAGTTTTGTACTTGGTTTAAAGTTCTCAGAGACCACAAAATACAAATATAACAGAGCTGCTTCCAAAAAAGCGAGGCAATAAACAGTTGCTTGCAAGATTTATATATATTATTATGACTGAAAAATAGCTGGAAATATTTCATTTGGACAGCTTCACCTCCAGCAACCCATACAGCACAAAGCTCTGAAAAGCTATCCCAGGTGAAGGAATTTTAAGACAGCAAGATCAAAATTAAGAAGTGACTTACAAATATTGACACCTTTGTTTCTAAGCTGAAATATCAAGAAATAAATGAGCACAACATTCCAGAAGAAGTGGACATTCCCAGGGCAGCCTAAGCTACCTGTGATGGACACACGAGGACACACCACAGCTCCCTTTTCCAGCCTTTCCCAAATACCTTGAACTTGTTTTGAAACATGCTCCCCATCCCCAAACATAAAAAAAAGTTGTGGGGAAACAAAACAAAACACAGCATTTCCCAGGGATGAGTCAGATCCCGCTGATCACCAAGCAGGATATTAGTTATTTCCATTAGGGCCAGCATTTTGGCAGTTTTCTGTGCAAGATGCCTGATGGCCAGGAAGCTTGACAGTGTAAAAATATTTAAATTGTATCAATAAGAGATAATCAACTTTATATTATTGAATTACTGTGTAAATTTTCATCCAAGTCACTGTTTTTCAGTATGCATTCATAGGCACATGAAGATTTTGTGTTCCATTCTGAGCTCACAGCTATTAAATAGTCAACCTACCATCATCTAATGCATTGCTAACCGTTCTATAAGGGTTTTTCAGAGAGGGCTCCTAAAAAGAAGATGCAAAATGTTTGAAGATTACACAAAACACTGTTTTCTTCTCAGCAAAGTGTACCAACCAGTTTTTAAATATCAGAACACTGGTGAAAGACAGTCCTTTCACATTGTTTAATTCAATTTCTCCAGTGCTGACTTTGCTGCAGCAGCAAAAGTCACCTTCTTTTAATACAGTATACATTCTCCAAAGGACAGAATTGAAAAGTTAATTATTCTTATTCCAAACAATGGTAATGAGCTTTTCAATGGATACCTCCAGGGGTAAACAGTTGTATAGCTGAACTATTCAAATCCCAGCTACATTAAATTCAGGCTAAAATCCTCGTGTTTAGGTTAATCAGCACCAGACTTTCCACCGTCTTTTGTTTGTTCTACAAAGGAACAGCAAAGAACTGGAGCATTTGATATTCTAGTCATCCTGGGCTATTTTCCATGGGTCACTTTGCAAATTTGCTCATGTATCTGGAGGACAATTTTGTGGAAGAGCATATCCCAAACCTTATATATAAAAAAGTTGAGCTCGTGTTCGATAACGGGGCAAGACAGCTAGCTTTCTTCTAGGACTATCCGTACAGTTCTCAAGAAGTTCAGTTACACACAGCAAAGTACACAACACAAGCCTGTTGGTTGTGAGAAAGGAAGAGTGAAATGGAAGATGAACAAGAGCTAGATTTCCAGTCCTATGAAATTTGGCCCTTCACAGCAAGGCAAGCATTAAAAGGTATTGGAAATGGACTGGAGGAATCTTTTACTCCAGAGTTCACCTCCGCTTGGTCAACAAATCAAACACAAAAATGCCTTACCCTTCTGGTATTTTCCACAACTTTTTGATCTGGCTTCCCATAGTTTGGTGGGTTGGCATACGGATCATAGCCCAGCTTTGCTAGCATGGGTGCGATCACCGGCATGTCCTGCAGAACATCAGCAGGGATCTTCCCAACCCACTTTGACAGTGCTTCCACATTGACTGGCTTGATGACTTGGTCAGTAGATCTTTCAACTCTGCAGAGGGAGAAGGAAAGGTTATATTCTGCACTCCAACCAAGACTTGCTTCTTCACTGGCAGTGAGACCTTAATGCTTTTTTTTTTCCCCCTTCCCTCTCTTCCTCAAGATTTCCTGTGTCTGCGGTGCTGGTGGGAAGTTTTACTACACGAGGCTAAAATAAGAATGATGAACACAACATCCACACATGCTTTCTAACTTAGGCTTTCACAGAGAATGTGCTGAAGCAAGTCCTTAGCAAGTGAGAAGCACACACACACCTACATACAAAGCTGTTTTCCCACTGAACTACTCCCACGTTTGCTGTTTCGTTGTCTTAACTGCTCTTGAAAGTTGTATTCTAAATTAAAACCCATGTGTCATTTATTCTTCCCCTCATATTGTGACTAAACTCTTTATTTCCTTTAATGGGACACACATAACATTTCCAGAGGCACTTTTGAGTACCACACCATCTTTGCACGACACTCAAATGAAAGATGCTTCATGAAAAGACCAGTGGAACTGACAGAGATAAAGGCTGTCATCATGTTTTGTACAATTACTTTAACTGACCAATGGTCACACAGCTCTTAAAGGAAGCAAGTGAATGATCCTAAGCGTCACACGTACTGTGTGTATAAAATAGTTTATTGCTCACTTAAATCAGCCATTTGAGTCTTTCATTCTTGCACCCCACTTATTGTTGTGTGGAGCTTTTTTTGTTTGTTTGTTTCATTTTTTTTAAAGGAAGAAATCTGGCACTGCTTTGCTTTCCCACGTTCCTTGCTTCTTTTAGATTACAAGATGCCAAATCTCCTTCCTGCACTCCTCTCTGCAGGCCAGAAGCACTCAGAGCACACACAGCAATCTGAGGCTCTCAGACTTTGTTCTGAACTCAGAGCACATAAGGATTTGGGATGTCAAGGCTCATCTTTCCTTTAAGGCAGGTTGAGATCAGATCTGTGTATACAGAATGCCCAGAGGAACACTGACATCTGCATTACAAGTGATGCTGTGAGGTGTGCCTTACAAGAATTTAATCTCAAAAAGCTCTACCACACTGAAAACAAAATTAAAAGCGGAGTACAAAGGATAACAGCACTACCTCATCTGCATGAGACAAAGCATGAGAATACAAAGATTCAAATTAACACTCCAGCAGCTAATTCTTCAGTTGCACAGCGGAATGTGAGAAAACATTCTGAGAAGAACACTCCTTAAATCTTCCCAACAGTTTGTGAGACAAGAAGCCTGAAGTCAGGCTGCTCCTTCTCAGCCAAGCCCAAAATCTCTTCACCAAAGCTGTGAGTTTGGCCATCTGCAGTAGCAGCACAGAGCAGCTTTGGTTGGAAGGGACCTTAAAGATCATCGAGCTCTGACTGCAGCTCGGGCTGACTGCCCCCACATGGCCTGGGCTACCTCCATGGATGGGTACCCACAACCTCTGGACAAAGTAAGGAGGATGCTGCGATAAGCAGGAATGGGTTTGGCCAACAGCTCACTGGAACCCCAAAGCATAAGTGCTATGCAGCAACTCGGTCCCAAATTAGTACACATATGGATATCTTGTCCTGAAGCAAAAGCACATTTCAAATGTGCACACTGTCCCCCACTGACATTTCAAATCCTTGGTAACAATAAGCTGAGCACAAAGCAATTCCCAGTGGTGACAGACAGACAGGCGGCTGCAGAGCTGCTCCTCGGAGCTCACCCAGAAATACAGCACTGCACATTCAGTCCTCTGCTGCAATCCTTCACTGCCCTGTCACTTCAGATGGGAAGAAATACAACAGTTACTGGGGAAGACCCTTCAAACCAAAGAACATCAGGACAATGGAGTGAAGGGGGAGAGGGGGGCAGAAGGGAGGAAGAAAAACATCATAACGAAGCAAAACAAGAAAATACAGCAAGCCTTGACAAATCTGATTGTGTATGCATGTGGCAAACACTGCCTGGTCAGTACTGCCAGGTTCCATGCACAACTGCAGGGACAGGCTGGGCTCTGAGAGCAGCTGGTAACCCCAACCACTTCCACCACTGTCCTCCAATAAAATGGAAAAAAGGTATTCACTAAAAATATATTCTGAAGCAATTCTGCCTAGACAGCTATTTTCACAATAAGCCCAATAAAAATGCTATTAAAGAGTTGACAGCTCTTTGCATCAGTGGTCACCACAGCTGTTTTCAGTTAGCAGGCAAATGCCAGAGCTATATTAACAATGCTCATTATAGCATGCAGCCCAGCCATAACATTCCTCCAACAGAACAGCCACGCTGGCAATTACTTCAAACAACAGGTTCTGCAACTACTGCTTCATTCCGTGGTGCGCATCCTTAAAACCTTGCAGCATTCCTCAAGTAAGAAGCAAAAGAAGGAGGGAGGAATAGTAATAGAAAAGCAGTGAGAGTAGGGCTGGGTCAGCAGTAATCAGAGATTGCTGAGCAAATACACAGAACAGCCAACAGTTTCCTTAAATCAAGCAGCTAGGGGGAAGACGTGAAGTCAGATTGTTAAGTACGAACTGTCCAGTGCCTCTCATTGCTATTGAAAGGCTATTGCATAAGAGCTGCTGAGTTTGGAGTAAGAGAGAACGGAGACTGTTCACTTTCTGAAGAGTTGTGCAGGCCACCTGGTGGCTGGCTTAGCTTGGGAAGAGAAGTAACGTGCTTTAAGGCCATGCACAGCTGCTAATAAAGCACCTCACACTGAGCCAGATCCCCATTCTAACACACACTGCATATCACAGTACTGGGTAATAGCATCACTGCAAGCTCTTACTGGGGCACTGCGATCCCTTTCTTGAAGTGCCTGCAAGCATTCCAAGGCAACAAGCACTAGCCAAATTTCCAAAACCTTGCAGCAGTCCTAACACCTCCAGCCATCCCACTGGGGGCCTTTCTGTCCCATCCAACACCCTGCAGGACATGGGGAAACAGTTCAACCCAGCTGTTCCTTTCCCTGCTGTGCTACGAGGCTAGCACTACTAAGGCAGTGTCACACTTAGATACAGATTGCTTGGTCCTTGTGAAATGCTTCTCCTGCCAGTAAAACTGTAATTTGAGTGATCTGATTTGACCGCATCGTTATGGAACAGCTTGAAGTACATGGCAGAGGGCTCCGTGAGAAGAGAAAGTTGCATGTAACAGATAGCTCTGTTCTGAATTTCCTCAGATCATCTCTGAGGGCATCTTCAGCACTGCCCTTTGAAAAGGCAGGTGGGAGAAAGCTATGGGCAGAGCGTGGAGCCAGGCCTGGAGCCAGCTGCTTCAGCTGAAAGAAGGTGCTGTTCACACACTGCAGCATGGAGCACTCCCAGATAAACCTCAAAGGAAACTCCATGCTGCAAGAGAACAACGCAGAATTGAGCCTGAGCCTGGAACTCAACACCTGAGGCCATAAGGAATTTGGCTGCAGCTGAGAACGTGCCAAATGCAACCTGATAGAGGGAAAACTAAGCGCTGCGAGGTTTATTTTGTTCAGCTGTCAAAATCTGATAAGCCGTGGCACAGCCCTTGAAGCTCACAGTAAGGTGTGTGGGAAGGATCCTTCTGCAAAGCAGCTCCAGGGCAGCGAGGAGATGGGGATGTCAATGGGGTACAAATGCTGCAAGGAAACCAGACTGGGGAGCCTCGTGCTCCTCTTACTCAATTTCAGTTAGCATCATTTAATGACATGAAACAGACGTGCAAGTTACAGAATTTCATAGGCACTGTTTGTTCTACAGCCCTCTAAAGACTGAGTCACTAAAATCATTATCAAATTATAAAGGTGTCTTGCAATTGGAAACCAAATCTCACCATGTATTTCAAGGGTATTTGATTAGATAGAAACACCACAGCCATAACATTAACATCCCCTCTGCCCCCTATTGCCAAAACCTCCTGAAATAACTAATTATTTCCATGTATCACCTTGCAAGAAATAGCAAAACCATCCAATTCTATCAACAAACTCAAGTGAGGGTCCCAAAGAAAAGAATACTTTGAGACAAATTGATGATTGGACTAGTTGACCATACAGGTCTCCTCTAGCCTTAACAATTCTACAGTTCCATTCAGTGGGCACGGTGGTGATGAGCTGATGGTTGGACTGGACACTCAGTGGTGTTTTCCAACCTTAATGATGCAATATTGTATGATTTTAGTACCAAATTTCAAAGTTTGAATTGGGAATATTCCCAAAGTCACGTTTTACTTTCAGCACTACATTCTCCTAACTTCTAGGGACGTGAACAAATATTCTCAACTCCTCACATCCTATTCCACCAGATCCAGCAAGAAATACTACTTGAAACCGTGTGAACTCCGTAAGGCTACTGAGTTTTATAGTCTAGAGGCCCATTAATTTTTACAAACCCTGATCTGTGAGCTGTAAAGCAGCAATAATTTACTAAAAAAGGCCTTCTGCACGGCTATTTTTACAGGACACTTAACAGAACTTGGCAGCACCTATTTATGGCAGTAAAAGTCAGCCTGCTCCCCCCTCAGCCACCACTGTGAAGCAGTAACACAATACAGATAGCAGAAGAGTGCAGGCACAGCAGATACAGCTTGCAGAGACATCCAACAGCACACTGCTCCACGTTAACACCATCTGAAGGCTTCCATCTGCTAACAAACAAGACTGCAAAAAAAAACAAACAAACAAAAAACAAACCACAAATATGGCTGGGATGCCTTCTTGACAGCAGCATCCAATTTTATCACTGCTTTCAATCATAACCCCTTACAGTACATTAAAAATCCCACACAACAGGAGCAGCCACTTCCCTGTATAAAGAAAAAACCCACTTCCAACTTTTCTCTCTCAAAACTTTAGCTTTAGCTGAAATCCCAGCCCATGCTGCCTGCTGAGCAAGGTGCCTCTGCTACTCAATGCACTTGGTCAGTGCTGTATAGTAAAAAGCAGAAGTCAGGGGATTTAACTGTGCTGCTAAAAGATGGCTTTTTAATCAACATTTCAGAACTGTAAGTGACGAGATCCGTCAGATTGATCTGCAACAGCATAAAGAAAAGAAAAGCCAAAAATGCAAAAGAAAAAAAAAAAAAAGGAGAACAAAACATACAAACCCCAAACACCCACCTCCTAAATACTGAAGTTTTCTAAGCACAGCTGGATTTCTGTTCCTGAAAGCAGTTAGGTCAGACACACAGATGGTGTGACAGACTACTAAGATTTGCCTCCAACGAGGTTAATTTTATTCAGTGCTTGTCCTCAGAGGAGCACAAGCCAACAGAAGAGCATGCCAATTCTGCTTTCTATTTTGTTGGAACAATTTCTCAAGTTTCCTGGAAGAGTACGTCCTTGGCAAATATACCTCAAAGGCCATTCCTGCATTGACAACAGTAATTAAGTTCCTGAAATCACACGGGTGATCTTGCTAGGACTAACAGTGCCAGTCTAGATAAAAACGTTTATTTTGGGGCAAAGGGAAAAGCAAAGCTCTGCTGGAGGAAAGGCTGATGCTCGATGTCCAAATTCAAGTTAGACTGACCTTAAAGTATGAGCTAGTTCACTTGGTCCATACATATATGCTACAGGGACAACTGCTCAGAGTTCACCCAAGACTGCAAAGCAATAGTTGACAGTCATTCCTATTTTGCATACAATCTGCACCACAGATCAGCTTCCCAAGATATCACCAGCTACTGAAGAACTGAGTTATGACTGGTCTTTCATATGCAAAAGGCCCTATTTTATCTTTCAGAGCAATAACAGATAAGAGAGGAACGCTCATACTCACTTGGAAAGAGAAACACCCCCGGCTTTTCCAATCATTTCTTCGTGGTGCAGCACTGCTTGGTTCCACGGGATGCGAAGGAACTTTAAGAGAGTTCTCATCCATCTTTCAGGATGCAATACAAGCTGTTCGTAATGTACCAGCATACATCTCTCAAAGCCAACCTCCATACACTGGTTATACATAGTTTCTATAGCACGATTCCACTTGGTCAAACAGTCTCTGTAGCTGTTGAGGTCAAACCCAGCTATTGTGACTTTTCGAGATATCATGGAATGTACAGATGCACGACCATCCCGTACCATTAGAAGAAATTTGGCATTGGGGAAAATTCTAGCAAGATAAGTTAAGGATTTTAGAGCAAAAGGGTCTTTGTTACACAAATAAGGCGCAGGCTCCCCATGCTTCACGATGATTTCCAATAAAAACGCTTGCATGGCTGAGTCCAGGACCTCATCTGTGACTCCAGCTTCATCCAGCCGGATCTTCTCTTTGCTTGATCTGGCCCACATCTGCTTCACTGCCAGAATTCGTGGGATTACCCTCGTCTCCTCTCCACATCGAATATCCGGATGAGCATCAAGCATGGCACGCATCAACGTAGTGCCACTTCGAGGTACTCCTCCAATAAATATTAAAGGCATGTCTTTGTTGTAAGCAAAAGTTTTATTTGTGTTTCCATTAGAAGCAGTTCTTACTGTGCTTCTCAGGCTCTCCAGCCGCGCCGGCTGGCTGCGCTCCTCTATGCGGTGGTGGCACTCCATGGCATGTTGGCCCAAGTAGAACACGGTCACTGAACTGATCACCAGGCATGCCAACAGCAAGTTCTGCTTCAGCTTTCCAACCATTTTGATAAAGACTGTCGCTTCAAAATAAAGAGACCTTCTATTGCAGATTACTTTCTAGTTCACGTGCCATGGAGATCCTGATCCAAAATAAGTTAGGGTCTGGTGAGAGGAAAAAAAAAAGAACTTAATTAACAGCTACAGTGATGCATCAGCACCAAAAATATCTGATGGCACTCAATACAATTAGTATCTCCTGATGTTGTATTAAGAATACTGAATGCAACATCTAAAAAGCAAAGAGCCAACAATGCAAAGTCCTCTTGTCTACCACGGCAGCAAAACAACACAGAACACGATTTGTGATTATAAGTGCTATTTACACAGAAGTTCTCCGGCACAGTTCAGCACTATATTTGAAAGAATTCCACCACTGGATAACTTCTGTTACACTCTGCAGTCAAAGACACTGTTTGTAAGGGACTTTAGAATAGGGAAAAGCAACCATTAAGGCACCTTTTCTCATTAAGTGAGGAGCTTGACATGCTCCATTTCCTTCAGAGAACACAAGATTATAGCAAAAGACATTTCACAGCTATATAACAACGTTTGACTGTGAGATTCTCCAGTTTTTGATCATGGGCTTAAAGCAACAAAGAGAAATAGTTCCCAGTAAACTGAGGACAAATCCATTTTCATTTCAAGGGAAGCTTTGGTGAAAGAAGTGGATGATCACTATGAACTGTAAGCGGAACCCAAGACTGAAGTTGACCAGGATCAAAACTAAGATCAGCCTTCAACAGCTGAAATACTGAAAAACTGAATAAATTAGAGAGAGAAATCAGCCCTATTCTCAACCAGGATACCAGCAGGAAAAGGTAAAGCCTTATATGATTTCAAGCCGTGCAACGAAGCATTCCCAGAACAAAGTATATATACTGCATTCTACCTTCAAATAGGAACTGTGCTCCTTTCAAACAATGCTGCCAGCTTGCACTTTCTTTTAGTCTCTCCTACATCACCTAGACAGATCTGCATTCTTGCTGGTACAACAGTGAGCATGGTGGGGCTGGGCTGCCAGATGGACCTGATCATCTTAGAGGTCTCTTCCAACCTCACTGATTCCATGGCAGCCAGCACCCTCCCCCATCCAAAACACAACACTTGGAAGTTAAGAATGTGAAAATGTATTGTCGTTTTACAAAGAGGTTTATGGAAAGTACTCCCATGACAAATCAAAAGGCAGTGGCCAATACCAGTAAGACGGCTACGCTCCATAAAGCATCCTGGCAGCCACATCCATGAGTTTATAGTTACAGTCATCCCACGTTTATAGTATGGAATGGAAATACATGCTGTAAAAAAATGTTTAACTGTTACATCACAGCGTAACCTCCCTTCTGGTTCTACAATATCACACATAAATCATCCAGTCAGTTTTAAGCCCTTACAACTATCACAAAACAATGGAAAAAAGGCAAATCAGGGATAACCACTCGTCCCTTTCCTGAGGTGCCAGTAATGTCCTACATTAAATCCATTCTCAGCTCTATGAATTAAGCAGTTGCCATTACCTGGTGACAGAGCATATCTCAGTACAGTTCAAAGTGAACTTAGCTACAACAAAAGCTCTGCTTCTCTCCTGTAAGTTATTTTCACGTGGCTATGGTGCTATCATCTACAACAGGACAATTCAGTACCCAAAAACAAATGAGACGTGCTGAAATGCAAGGCTTTGCACACCTATTACTTAATATTTTATGACTTTTTTTTTTTTTAATCAGTAATGATGGGAGAATAGTGCCTGAAGCCCCAAAACACCCAAAATTGAAACAAGGTTTTTCACGAACATCATTTTCCATTTTGGCTCCTTCAAACTGCACCACTTACAGTACAAGTGAGAACCAAAGACCTAATTAGATCACTTCAGCAACGTACATGAGTCTGAACAAAAGCTTTAGATAGAAACAAAAGGTTTAAAATCCGTTGCTGAATCCACACAGACACATGCAGGAAGGATGAAGAACAAGCCATGACTTACAGTGGGTACCAATGGTTATATCCAACATGGGCTGGGACAGAACTGCTGCCTCAGCTCCCAGCTGACTTCATCTGCTCACACTGACCTCAGCCCTGAACATTTACCTTCTCCATCCCTAGAAGTTATTGTACAGACTGCTCCCTTACCTGTGTTCTGCCGTCCAACCCCGCTGTGTTTCTGGAGACACGAGCTAGCCTGAAAACCAACTCTTCCTCTCCGAATTCAAATGAAATTAGCCCTCTAATTGCTACTTTAAACATGAGCTCGCTTTTCAGAGCTGAAACAACTCACTGAGCAGCATGAATCACAGATGCTTTTCATTGTGAGGAGCTCCAAGCGCTGCCGTACTGCCAACATTTGGATGACGGCTGCCCTCAATGCTTTTCCATCCCCATCAGCAGCAATCCTCCAAGTCCAAACCCCAACCACCCCACCGTGCCCACTGCTCACATCCCTCAATGCCACATCTCCATGGTTCTGGAACATCTCCAGGGATGGCGACTCCCCTCCCTGGGCAGCTGTGCCACTGCAGCACTGCTCTTTGGAAAAGAAATTCTTCCTCATTTCCAACCTGAATTTCCTCTGATGAAACCCACAGCCACCACCTCTTATCCTACAGAGTCTCATTACACTTCATGTGCTGCTCCCTGCTGAAGAGGTGGCTTAACTCTACCTTAAATACATGGATATCAGCAGAATTATCTATACACACAATTCAACCTACAGCTCCACAGCACCGAAAAGCAAAACGTCTCTCCTAAGCAAACTCAGCATGCACACAATTTTCAGTTAGGGAAGGAAACTGTTCTACTTAAATCAGCAAACAACACCCAAAATCCCTTTAAATGCTTTAAGAAACAGAGAAGTTTTAGTAAAAAGCGCTCAGAAAAGAGCTAATGCAACAGGAGGACACTTTGCTGCAGAGCACACAAGATATGCAAACATTTACACCAATCCTGATGTTATTTGGTTTGAGTACATTCCATAAAGCTCATTTCCTCAACCATAACCCCCTAAAACAAAACACTGAACCAAAGATCTCCTTCACCTTCCTAACTAAAAACAAACAGGCAAACAACCAACCGCCCCCTGAAACTACAGAAGTTCACAGCATCACTGAATGCCCGAAGTTGGATGGACCCATGAGGAGCATTGAGTCCAACTCCAAGTTCAGCAGCTGATCTCTGCAGGAAACAGATCCCTGCAGCCATTGCTATTGGAACAACAGAACCAAGCTGAAGACCAAGCAGCAGCAGGGCAGAGCAGCGACCAAAGGCTGAAACACTGGGGTTGGTGAGGCAGAGGGATGAGTCACTCTCAGCAGCAAATGCTGTGAGCACCACAGTTTGCCAGTTGGTTTCCTAAATTACCATTGACCGCTCACAAAAGCAGCAATAAAAAAATCCACGTGACACACACACACGTGAGAAAACAACCACCAACCCACCGCAAACAGCTTCAATCGATGCAGTAACTTTTGGTAAGCTCAGTGATGCCAAAGGCTGAAAGAGCATAAGCAGACAGAGCTTTGCTGTCCTGTGACCTTCCGTGCTGCTGTCTGCCTGGAAGCAGTGCTTGGAGCATGCAACTGCCATAAAACAGCAAGACCAGGGTCTTGTGCATCAGGAAACCTACAGAGGAGCTGACAAAACAGCACTGCTCAGCAAATCAACGTGCTCTGCAAGCCAGCAAACTCCCTCCCGGGCCCCAAGATACACATAAAGCTCTTCAAGATAAGTGTGACAGATGGAAGTGACTGCCCTTCCAGCAGCTCACAAATCAACAGACCCCACCTTTGTCCTTCCATGAGTGAACGCTCTGGATCGCATCAACGCCAACCTGGAGGAGAGCTACAAGTCAGTAGTGCTTGCTAACAGCAACAGCTGACAGCATTTTACAGCCACAGCAAGGCAACCCACTGTCCCTTGCAGCATAGAAGTCCAGCTTTGAAAAACAGTGGGTTCTTTACTCCACTAAAGGTACAGCCCACTCTTAATTGCAATAATAAAATGACCAAAAACCAACCAACAACAACAGAAACGCCACAACGTGAGCTGTAGATCAATCAGCAGCTTTTGAATGACAGATAAAAACAAACTCCCTGCAAATATACATGTAGCAAAACCACACCGAGATGGGATCCACGCTTTGCAGTACATGAAAGCACAGCTAAGCAGCACTGCATGCAAACTGGATTCACTTCCAGAAAAGTCAGACCTATGAGTCAGCCACAAGATGTTAGCAAAGCAGAATGACTGCTTTGTTTCCTCACTCTGCACACAGCAGTTCTCCCCCCCAACCCTGGCCTGTACATGCAGTGGGTCAAGACCTATCCTCCTAAAGTTCATCTAAAAAACGCTGAAGATTTCAGTATAGAAAAGAAGCAAGTCATTCATTTGTATCTTATGGTTAAACAGCCTGGGGTTTGTTTAAAGCACTCCATATCAGGGGAGTAAAAGAACACCCTTTACGCCCCGGAACTGAGCAGCTCCCATGAGCTCTACAGGTCAAACTCTCATTACAGAAACTGGAAAGTCCAGTGACCGTCAGCTGATGACTGCCATCCAACCAAGCAGCTTTTTCCAATGCTAAATCAATGGGCCAACACCACTTCCATCACCCACCTCAAAGAAACCCACAGACACAAAGCAGTTTTTGGTGATCAGTTTGTCCTTGGCTTCTGCCTCTCAAGCTTCTGGCTCACGTTCTGCCAACCAGACTTCCCTCTAGAGCAGTGCTTGGTTTCTGTGGGATGGACACCAACACTGGACTGGAGCAGAACCCATTGTGATGGAAGCCCCTACTCAGCCCTGTCCCCTCTGCTCAGCTCAGCTTCCACGCTTCTGCTCGACCTCCAAAACAAGGTAAGCAAAGACAGTAGGAGATGCAACAGGCTCTGCTTTACTCATGCAGTTAACTGGATCAGCCCCAGCACTCTGTCGCACAGAAGGAGCTCCAAGCAGTTCCTGCCGAGCCCTCTGAAGGCCACTGTTGCTCAAAAAAGCAGAAATGTACCCACATGAGCTTCCCTGAACGCAGCAAGCAGAGCTGGCTGGCTCTGCAGCTGCTGGACTTCAGCCACTCATCTTCCAGCCCAGCTCCAGGCTGCACACACTGCACACACAGCACCCAGCTGCAAAAAGCTTTTGGGTGTTCTTAAACAAAGGAGTGCCCTGCTGCTGCCCTGAGCTCTGCAGCAAGGAGACACCGCCAACATCACCCACATATGGATCCAAAAAAATATCAGCAGTAATAATGCTAGAGAACTGGGTTCACCATTTCTGAATGCGTTTTCCCCTCAGGCATTACACTCTAAAAATATATACTGGAATGGTGGCTGAATGTTGTTAGGAATCCTCTTCAAAACAACACAGTGTGTTAGATACGCGCTTAGAAAACACTGCAGACATCATGCAGTCCCCAGGAAAAGTTCTGTTTTAAGCTCACCAAGCGTTTCAAGCAGGAAGGCAGTAAATGCAATGGCAGCCTTTCAGGGTTTCTAAGTGAAAGCTGAAGACGAACTGCACACACATCCCATCAGAGCTGTCCTTCAACACGTGGGTTTGTTGGGGTTGTTCACGTTTGCTCGCCACAAAGAAGATTGCATAGGAAGGCTGGCAGTTACATGATAATGGCATAGCACAACTCCGAGGAACACAACCCAAGTATTCACATCACACCACTAACAGAAGGCATCCCAGGCTGCCACAGGCTCAGTCAGAAGGTTGTTCTAAGAGTTAATTAGATCTCCTGGAAGCATTTTTTATGCCTTCAAAACGCTGTTTGCACAATCATCCCAATGATGCCCCCCAAGGCCAGATGCCACGTGCTGCTGTTAGTGGATGATCTCGGTGGACTTTTCCACCCTTAATGACCCTACCAGCCACGTAACGGCATCACTCAAAAGCACAGCGCAGTGCAAACGAGCAGGGAGAACACCCAGCAAAGCCAGGAATAAAACTCAAGATCTCAACACTCAGTGCTTCATCTTCAGTCTTGTAAAGCCATCCCAGCTCCCAGCCCTGCAGCTGCTCTCCCTGCATCGGTTATAGAGTGAAAAAAAAACAACAAAAAAACGCCCTGATAAAACAGCACGACTTCATTTTCATTCACCTCCACGAAGAAAGGAGCCGCGATGCACAACAGCCACAGCCGCAGGGCTGGCAGACGGAACAGCAAAGTCGGAGCTGGATGGAAACACAGACGTGTGAGCAACGCGGGGACAGCTGTAACACAACGCGTTTCCCCGAACCCGCGCGTTCTTTTTGTTTTGTTTTTGTAATCCCAGCCTCTGAGGAGCAGAAAAGCTGAGTTCACCTCCACGGACACCGACCTGAAAGCTCCACGTGTGGAAGCAGCGCGCAGCCAGCCCGCAACCACAGCGATCGGCTCCTACGGTCCGCATCAGAGCTTCCTCCGGATCCGTTCAGAGCGGCACAGAACCGCTGGGGTTCGGAAGGACCCCTCAGCTCCCCATGGCCGCTCCCAGCCCTCAGAGCCCGCAGCCCCGCGGCTCCGGGACGCCTGGAAGGACGCTGCTCCCCCCGCGCCCTGCAGCTCCACTCTTTGCGGATGAAATCCGAGCGAAAGCGGCGGAGCGGCGCCGGGCACGGAAAGGCGAAAGAACGGCGGAACAAAAGGAGCAACGCGGGCGGGGAGCGGAGCCGGCGGACGCTTTGAATTGGAGAAGAAGAAGAAATAAAGAAGAAGAAATAACAGCAGGAAGAGGAGGAGAAGCAGAACGCAGCGCTCCGGCAGCAGCCGCGTGCTCCGCTCGCACGGACGCGCTGAGGTGGCACCGACCGAGCCTCGAACCCGCGACCCTCGGAGCCGCCCCGCGGACTCGCTCACTCACCTGCACCGCCGCCGCCGGGCCCGGGCCGTTTGTGCGCAGCAGCAGCAGCAGCAGCAGCAGCAGTGCGGCCGCCCCGCCGCGGCGGGCCGCCCCGGGCAGCATGGCGCTGGGAGCCGCACCGGCAGCGGCCCCCGCCGCACCGCGCCGCCTACCGCCCCCGGCCCCGCGCTGCCATGGAGATCACAAGCGCGTCCCGATTGGTCGCCGGCTTCGATGTGTCGCGGAGCGTCATTGGACGGAGGGTGGAGATTGACGGGTGGAGGGCGGGGCGATGTTTTTAACCCCTTCGGGTTCGGGGAACACCCGCGGCGCGCAGCTGGAGCGGGCGGAGCACATCTGGGAGAGAGCGGCCGCCTCTGGCCAGCTGTGCCAGGCGGCTGTGGGGGCTGGGAGCAGCTGGGCTCCGTCATCGCCTGCCGGCCACCCCCCCAGGGGCACTGCTGTGCACATCTGGTGTGGCTGCACATCTGGCACACCTGCACGTCCCTGATCACCACCTCCCCCCGGCCCACGTCCTCCTGCAGCACTGCTGTCCTGGGAGTTTTGCTGGGAGGAATGAGAGGGAATGGATTCTGCACGCTCTGTGCTCAAACCCCACAGATGCACAGTGATTTCCATGAAAAATAGCAGAGCATCTGGACCTGCAGGAGCCTTCTAAGGACAGAGCTGCCTGCTGAATGCTGCCCGCTTCTTACATGTCAGAAATCAGCCGTGTAGGTGCAAACATCCCAGGTGCATTGCCTATCACACACTGCAGGGAGCCCCAAAATGTGTCCCCAAAAGGTGGGGCTCGTTGCCCATCTCCAGCGGGGACAAAACAGAGGCAACCAGTGGGGCGTCGTCACCTCCGAGCATCCCTGAGGCCTCTAGCTGTGAAAATCCCTCCAGGTGCCAAAATCCTTCTCCTGTTTCTCTCCCAAGGTGATAAAGGCCGTGTGCTGCCCGTTGTGCCTGGACACAAGGATGATTTATGGCTGAAACACTGCATCCCATTTCCACTAAGACTGCCTTGATCCATAAAGCGGCGCTTTTTAGATCGCTTTATTGGTTGGGTTTTATGGCTTCAGATCGCTTTATTGATTTTTTTTTTTTCCTTTCATGGCTTTAAGCCGTGACTCACGCAGCTCCATTTGCAGGCTGCAGTCCGCAGCCCCCGCACAGTGCCCAGGGAGCAAACAGGGAAAGGAAGATCAGGAGCTGCACATGGCTACAGCACCAGCACGGCTGCCCCGAGCCGAGAGCTGGGATCTGCATCAGGGCCACGGCAGTGCTTTGCTTCCCTCCCTTCACATCCAGCACAACGCTTCTTGCAACAGATTAAATCCACTCCAAATACATCCCTGAATTCAACACGAGCACAGTGGTTAAAATCAAGAAGTGCGTTCCTGATACCATGGCACTCACTCGGTGTTCTACCCCAATTCCACCTTCCTCTTGCTAAGAATGCAAAGAATTTCCCTCTCTGCACAGCTCGTTCCCAGCTCTGGAGCTGCACTCACTGCCTTTGCTGTGTCCTGGCAGCACTGCAGATGTTTTTCTGTTTCCTCGAATGCCTTCACAGCAGTTGCACAACGGAACTGTAGGCTCTCAGCTCCCCGTGCCCTACAAAAAGGCCTTTCTGATCCTAAAGGAAGCACAAGGGAAGGAGCAGGATGCAGCCCTGCCCGGCATCCCTCCAGCTAGAGATGAGATGCTGTTATGAATTACAACAATTACTTTCACTCTGTGTATGGAGAAAGGATGGATTTGGCACCTGGCTGTCAAAGCTGGGAGCACCGCCTGGACCGGTGCCTTGGTTGGGGGCCCAGAGATGATATTTCCCCACATCCCACCACCCCAACCCAGCACAGAGTGGGATGGATCCCCAGCTGTGAGCACCACTCCAGCCGGATCGCAGCCCGTTGGTGGAATTTGGGGCATGGATGTCTGCCTCTCCCTGCAGCTCAGCACAGAGCCTTCGTCAACCCTGCAGGGTGATGGTTGGCTCCATCATCCCACCCCTCATCCCATCCCTCATCACATTTCTGCATGTGACAACCGACAGCCGACCTTCCCTCTGCCTGCAGAAGCCATCATGCTGTATTCATTTCATAGCAAGATTTGTTCCCCAGCTGTGAGAGCACAGGAGCTGCAGCACCCTTGGGGCTCCCGGTGGGTACCAGCCCTCCCTCCCCCTCTCCATCACACACCACAGGCACGGTTTTTCCACTCAGAGCAGGAGCTGAGTGCTCCTCTCTCACATTTCTGGGCACCTTCCCGTGCTCCTGGCTCACAGAAAGCTGTCGATGTGGCACGAGGGATGTGTGCAGGCTGAGCACTCGGGAACAGCTGAGAGCAAAGCAGAGCCCAGCTCCCTCCTCCCTTCCGGGTTTCCTCTGAAATAAAATAAGAAATAAAGTCCAATATTGCAGAGAGCCTGGCTGCAAGAAGCACACGGAGCTCTGCTGCACAGGGATGCTTGGCACACTGACCCAGGAAATAAATCTCTGCTGGGCACTCAGCACCCTCCGTGCAATGGGGCAGAGCTATTTTCTCAGGGATTGACTCCTATTTAATGGCAGGAGATGCTCAGAGGTTTGTAAAGCAGAGCCCTAACCGTGTGTTGCAGCCATGAATTATCTGCTGGAGTGTTTGAGATGTCAGCGAGACAGCAATGATCTCATCCGTGTCTGGAGAGCGGTGCGAGGAGGTGCAGGAGAGGCTCCCAACCATCCTAAAACAAAATACAAACAACCCCCAAATCCCAAATCCTGCTGCCAAAGTGCTGCTCATGTCAGGCTGAGGGTTTCCAGCGCTGAGCTCTGGCCACGAGCTGGAGCACAGAGAGGCTCCTGCACCACTGTGGTTTCAAAACCAAACCTGTGCTGTGCTGAGAGTCGCAAAAAAACACAGGAAGAAAAAATGGGGTCCTGTGCTGGGCCCCACAGGAAGGATCCCATCCTGGCAGCAGGTTTTCCCCATTCACAGTGGCTGAAGATCAGCTCCTGGTGCTACCAGAAAGCTATTTAGGGGGGAAAAATGTCCCATCAGTTCCCCACATCCTGAGCACAGGTTTGGAAGCAGCAAAGCCCCCAGGCCAAGGTCAGGAATAGTGCAGGCAAACACAGGCAGAACAGCAAACATGGCCATGTCCCACATAGGTCTGTCAATCATTTATCCCCCCATTTATTTTCAGACACAAAGCAGCACCTGGTGCAGTGGGAATCCCTGGGGAAAGGAGAGGGGCACCCATAGGGAGCTGTGGGGTTGGGGGGCTGTAACACACACTGCTCTCCTCCTGCTCCTGCACATGAATAAGTGCATATGTGTATGTGTGTATATATATTGGTATGTGTGTATATAATATATAGGTGCATAATGTATGATTATATGCTTATACATGCACAGCTATATTGGAACATTTTAGGCACTTAAGTGCACTTTAAATGCACACATTTAGGCAGATACATAAACGCCTGTTAATTTGAACATAGGATGTAACAAGTATTTAGATATTTCAATATGTATAAATACATTTATATAACTAAATATCCAAACAATATGTACAAAATTTGTGCATATGGGATGTGGGGCACTCAGGACTCCCCAGCCCACAGTTGTCCACTCCAGCACCAAGACACAACGGTCAGAATGGTACCAGCACTCCAAAACCCAACCCCCAACACGTGGCTCACCAAAGCTGTGTGCTCTACATACAGATATATTACATACCCACATGTGCTCCATGCTCACACCCTGCACATCCCCTTGGCCGACCGTCCTCACTCACCACGCTGCTGAGTTTCACCTTTTTCCACTCAAATTCTGGATCCCATCAGCAGCAGCAGCAGCAGCCCCCAGACCCCCTGCCCTTCAATGGCAGCACATGGGATGGGTGCAGAGCCCCAGAAGGGCTGGGAGCTCTCGGTAGGGCAGCACCCAGTCCTTGGGTGCTCAGCGCTGCTCCTCCCCACCCACTTTTATAGCAGCCCGATAGCTCCCATTGGCTCCAGGCACACTTATTATAGTGACTGGTTATGACCCATTTAAATGGTGTTAAATAATTTCTCAGTTCGTTGTCCTGCGGAGAGTAGTTACACATAGGCACATTTTAATGATTAACTCCTGGGCTGTGCTGAGGCACCAGCAAAGAGCTCAGCACTCACGACTTCCCTCCCTGCACCCGATGCCATTGGGGCTCTGCAGCATCTCCTATTGCTCCCCATGGGTGCCACCAGCCCAATTCTCCTTACAGGGAGCACTCTGGCTCCCAGTGCCATAGAGAAAGGTGGCGAAAGGAGATGGGAAAAGCCCTAAAAGCAGAGAACAAGCAGGAAGATGCTTAGCAGTATTTTGGGGCTGGGTTGGTCTATTGAGCCACTCTGGGCTCTTCAAAGCAGCCACAGAACACAGGGTGGGGTGTTGGGATTGGCTTGCTCTGCAGGTCCCCCAGTGTCACTGTGTGTGGGACGGGGCCCACAGGTGTTTGTGTTGGCAGCAGGAAGGGACAGACTGATGGAAGGAAGCGGTTGAAATCCCTTTGGGTTTCTGTGCTTCCTTCTCCTTTCCTTCACCTCCACTGCTTTGTGCCAAAGGGGCTTTAATTGCTGCGTTCCACAGAGGTTTCTAAGGAAATCGGTGAACAATGCAAATGGGGAAAAATAATCTTTTTGGATGGATTTGAATGGTACAAACAAACAAACACACAAACCATAAAAACAACCGCCATGCTTTACAAGGAGAGGAGCAGACTGATGCTCCCTGCTGGTCTGGACCCCCCGGGTTACATGCAGGCAAACCCGATACTCGGGGCTGCTCCCAGCCCAGACCCCCCAGCACAGGCTGACCAAAGCCTGGGACAGCAAAGTGTCACCTTTTGTTTGAGGACAGCACTGCACGGCTCCGGACAAAACTTTGGGAGTAAACTGACCAAGCTGAGGGAACAGAGCCTGATCTGAGCTTTAATTCTATCTCTTTGAAGAAGAAAAGCCCAGACCAACTGAGGACCAACATGCCACCCTCTGCTGTCCCCAGGGTCTGGCAGTGGGGGAAGGTTTTGGACC